GGCCACTGATGACTCTTGCAGTATATTATAGCCACTGATTTAGGCTTCCATACAGCTTCTCGTAAAGCTAGGGTCTCATGTTTGTTTTTGATGTCTTTCTCTCCTGATGTGAGCAGGCCCTGTTGTTTATACATCTCTCTATTAACATGTACAGTTGCAAAGGCATACCATCTATCCGTGTAGATGTTGAAAAGCTTCCCTTCACCCAGGTTTAAGGCCTGAGTAAGAGCCATCAGCTCTGTTCATTGGGCTGAAGTTTCAGATCCCAGAGCAGCAGCCCACCTTGTCACTCTCTGGCCATCCACCACTGCTGCCCCCACATACCTGACTCCTTGTTTGAGGAAGCTGTTTCCATCCATGAAGAATGTCTCCTCAGGGTCTTTTAGGGGCACAACCCACAAATCAGGTCAGGTCGAGGTTATGTCCTGGAGGGTCTCCTGGCAGTCATGTAGTGGGGTCATCAGGTCTGAGGCAGGCAGCAGGGCTGTGGGGTTTAAGGTAGTGGCTTCTGTCCCTCTTTTTTTGAGGGGGCACTCATTTCTCCAATGTCCAGTCTGTTTGCAATAGGCACATTGTTCCCTTCTGAGCTTAGGCCACAGGGGTCTCTCCGGCTTAGGTCTCCCAGTCTGTTTACTTGTCTCATATTTTTGAGAGTGGCAATAGTAACTTTTTAGCTGCTTGGAGATTGTCTCTTCTGGGGAGTACCAGTTGTCAAGAACCTTTTGAGCTATACTCAGGAGCTTGGACCTGTTCTTTCCCTCAAATCTTTCCAATCCCTGAAGTTTCTTTCTAATATCTGGGGCTGACTGTGACACAAAAGCCAGATTTATTGTGGCTGCATTTTCTGGAGCATTAGGATTAATGGGTGTATAGACCCGATACGCCTCTAGGAGGTGCTCCAGGAAAGCCATGGGGGACTCTATTTTATCCTGTTTTATCTCACTCATCTTAGTCAGATTAGTCAGTGGAGTCCCTGTAAAAGGTACTGGCAGTAACTGGCCAGATCTCTCCTACCTGCATCGGTGTTGGGGTCCCAGGAGGGTCAGCGGGTTGGCACCTCGGCCTCTGCTCTCTGCAGATAAGCTGGAGTGCCGGGGACCAAAGTCTGTGTTGAGTCCAAGGGCTGCCTTAACAGCCTCTTGGGAAATCCAGTCCCGCTCCTCCTTAGTGAAGAGGGTGTGGAGCAGCTGTTGGCAGTCATCCCAGGTGGGCTGATGAGTATGGAAAACAGACTCTAGAAGATTAATTAAAGTCTGGGGTTTTTCTGAAAAAGGAGCAACTTGATTATTCTGGGCCCGATATGGGGGCAGACAAGGTCAGAAGTCGACCTCATCCCTCAGAGCCTGGAAAACCTTACCTTTTGAAAGGGCTTAGTGTCAAAAACATCCCTCGAGTCTTGGGAAGTCTGCCATTGGAGGAAATGATGATGGACCTTATCTTTACTAAACCTAGATGACCTAATTCCTGGACAGGCGAGGAAAAGGGGGTCTTTTACCAGGTCCATTTACATATCAATATAAGGGAACTGATCAGGGTGACAGGGTCCTCCCTTTCCTGTAATCTGATTCCAAACCTGTCGGGTAGTGGGGTAGTGTGAATATTAAAATTTCCCACACTTGGCCATCCCACCTGGAACAATGGCCACTCTGATTGGCACAGGGTCCAGAGTTCTTTTGAGAACTTGATGCCAAATTCATCTACTTTCTGTGGGGTATAAATTTGTGAGAAATGTAAAACACACGTAAGGGAGGCTGACAGGGTAGACAATCCGGATCCCCTGGCTCACTGTAGAACAAAACTGAAAGCAAAAGACACACAGAGCAAGCTGACAGACAACAGACAACAGATACACAAATATTTAGACAAACTATACCCAAAAATATTTAGACAGACAAACCAGACCCCGGGGTAAACTGACCAGAAGGCTTCCAGTCCTCATGATGAAGCCCTGGGAAGGGGAATTACTGTTGCATCTGACCTCCCTTTTGTCCTCTTTTGGATCCACTGACTGATGACTGAGAATCATAAGATTCTTGCCTGACCTCCAGAGGTTTTCCAGATAAGCTCCCCTCAGTATGGCTGGAATGACCCGAATCCTCTACTCAAGACCCGAGTCCCCAGGGCCCTGATCAAATGGTCAAGGTGGCATCCCCAGGCCTCTCTCTGGCCACTGTGGCCTGAGACAGGGGCCATCCACCAGACAGAAGTCACGCAGTGATGGTCATCTCGCTGGGGCCTCCAAGAATGTTGTGCCAAGCAAGCCAATAAATCACCAAACACTGGGACCAATGACAAAGTTTAACTGAAAGGAGTTTATTCACATGCATGGACTCCAGTCCCTAAGTGAAGTGAACCCCTGAGTCCAGGAAGAACACAGTTTATATAGGGTGGCATAGCAGCATAGCTTTTATAGGTGTTATTTTAAGAAGAGAAGTTCAAGGATA